CCCATCGGCAGCCCGAGCCTGGAAGCAGGCCTGGTTTCCTGGCGCAGAGAGAAGGGAACCCGGGGAAACCCGCAGACCCCAGGGGCCGCCCGGCCTGAGACCCTGGGAGGCTGAGCTCCCTGCGGCGCTCTCTGCCGTCTTCCCGGACCTGGCTGGGAAATACGGAGGCCACCCCGCACTCTTCCAGGATAGGACCCTGAGACACGCACTTCCCAGGGTTCTGGAAGCTTCCCCTCCCAGAGCTGGTTCTAAATGGCCACAGCAACAACACAAGCCCCTCTTCTGGCTGTCTCCCCCTGCACCGTCACTGCCCGCCACCTTTGAGGACCACAGCAGCTTACGCCTCGCCACGGAGGGTCAGGGTCTCAGCTTAAAAAAAACCTACAGCCCAAACTAGAACAATCAAACAAACCAACAGGGCTCTAAAGCTGGAAGATGCCAGCATCTCCACGCCGCGCATTGTTTTGAGTCTTGATGTTCCTTCTCTCTCCTACTCCGGTGCCATTTGCCGGCCCATTTTTCAGAAGACTCTGCACCTGTGGAACCAGAGACACCAGGAGACGCCCCACTAATCCATCCATCATTCTAGGGCCCAGAGAGTCTCCTGAAATCTCTAGGGGAGTTTAGGGAAGAGATTACTGGTGTTCCAGGGTAAAATTAGAGTTTGAAATCCCTTGTCTACACTTGGAGCCCAGCTCGCACCAGAGCTGACCATACTGCCCCTCTTATTTCCAACAGTAAACAATATACCAGAGTCCCAAGCCTGTCTCTCGCGGGCCCCACCCAGCCAGCTGGTGGTCCTCTGCGTCTCCCAGCAGCGGTCTGCCAGGTCTATGGGAAGCCTCCCCAATTCCGGTCTGGGCAGCAGCCAGGCTCCAGCAGCCGCACAGCCGCAGTGCCGCCCAGCACCGCCCGGGAGCCGGCAGGGCATCAGCGGGGTGTCCTCACAGGCCTGGATCTGGGGCGTGACACGGCCTGCGGCCCTGCCTTTGGTCCCTGTGCCTTTGGAAGCTCTCAATGTTCCTCTTCCTGATGATTCTGTAAGCCGTCCACCTGCTCTTCTGCTTTAAGAGAAAAAGAGCGCGCAGGCACACACAGGAGAGAGAGACGCGCACACACGAAGATAGCGGAACAGGGACAAAGAGACAGAAAGAGGCAGAGAATGAAAATCCTCTAACCCTTGGAACTGTCATTGAGTCACGGGCCCGGGTCTGTCCGTCTCCTGCTTCCTCTGGGCTGAGCCTGGAGGCTCCAGGCTCCCAGTTTGGTCCCAAGGCTTCAAACCTTGCCTCTCGCGGGCTGGACCAGATACCCGGTGCCTCGTCATCAGCCACCCACTTCCTGCCTGCCCCCCACCCTCCTGCGACACACGTGCACACCCCCCACCACACAACGCCTTCCCCTCGTGTTCCACTCTGCATTTTCCAAGTCATTGCTGGAAGGTGCCACGTCCCCTCCTCCAGCTGCTGGTCCGTTTGGGTCCAATCCTTCTCAAGGCTGCAGGGCCGGAGGTGGGGAGGCGGCCAGCGTTCAGAGTCTGAGCTGTTACAAGGAGACAGATCAAATGCCGTAGAAGTTTACCCCGTGACTTTAGAGTGCATAAAATCAACACCCCAAACGTTAGCCCGAAGGCTTTTCTATAACTTAGCACTCGAGAGGGGGTTTCCAGCCCCGTGCGGTGTCTGCCCAGCCGCGGAGCACCGCCAAGCCATTTGATGCCCCTGAGTTCTGTCTGAGCCACCACCTAATTTTCCTCTCCAGGGCCAGCCGGGCGCTGCTTTGTTAAGACCGGTAACTCAGTGTCCCTTTGAATGAGTGAATCAGAGGAAGGAGCTCAGGTTGTGAACGTCTCGGTGAATTTCAATACGCTCAGCCCCGTGAGAAAACACTTCAACAGAACAAACCACCAGAGGGTAACTCTAAAGCAAAACACAGGCAAATGCAAGGCTGAGGGAACGCTCTGCGCGCACTCAGCGTCCGGGAGCTCCGGGTGAAGGGCAGGCTGCTGCTGGAAGGTGGCGTCAGAACGGGTGTGTCCCCCAGGTCCACCTGCCGCAGGGGCTCGCTCCGGGGAGCTGCTGCCACCCCCCTCACGGCATCACCCCAACCAGCCCACCACGACTGCCGGGCCCACCCTGAAGCCGGCCAGACACCCGGCGATGGCTCACCTGGACGTGGCTCCCTCCCTGCGATTCTCGGGGGCAGCAGTTGAGAGCGTGGGCCCTGGAGTGAGAAGGCTTAAGGTTTGAGTCCCGGCCTCACTGCTTGCCCTCTCTGGGCTCCAGTTTAAAACGGGAATAAGGGGAGGGTAATGGATCGGGGTGGAGCACGTACCTGGCATGCCTGAGGTCCTGGGTTCAGCCCCCCAAACCTCCATTAGAAGGAAAGAAAGAAAAAGAAAATGAGAATAGTTAACAGTAACTGTAACAGTATTCTTGAGACGGTTAGATAAACTGACTCGTATGAAGGAGTATCCGTCTGGGCTCAGCCAAAGAAACAACCAGCAGGAGACATACACTCGGAAGTTTGTTGCAGGGAACTGGCTCCTGCGATTGTGGGGACGCCAGGTCTGTCGCTCAGTGAAGTTCAGCTGCTATTTTTTTAGCATTCTAAAGCGTCTTCTGTGAAGTTGACACAATGAGTCAAGTCTCTCCCCCTTTCAGCCTCCATCTTACATGGTCCACAGCATCCTCTTCCTCACTTCCAAATCTTCTTCCAAAGAAGGCAGAAGACTCACCCCAAGGAACCGAGAGGAAGAGGACGCTTTGAGCCGTCCTCTCGGCAGGCCCTGCTGGGGCACCGGGAGGACGAGCAGGGAAGTGGGCCTGGAGCCACGCGCAGGTCTGGACTGTCGGCGCTACGATCAAGGGGGACGTGGGGAGTTCTATGACACGGCACGCACTTCACAGCAGGATGAGAAGCAGGGTAGCCTTCTGCCGTTCCCCGAAACCAGTCCACGGCCCCAGCGACACGGGGCGGTGCAGGGGCCCCAGCCTGCTCTGAGCCCCAGCACAGAGGAGGCACTTTGCCACCTGTCAGGCGCTGCGTCAGCGTTAGTTGTTCTGTTCTAACCTGACTCCTCCCGGCCCCTCGGCAACGCAGAGCCCTGGAGAGGCCTGGGCTGGCTGTCCCCGCCTGACCTTGGAGAAAGCTGCCTCCCTCCTGGAAGGGGAGCCCGCGGGCCAAGGAGCCCCCAGAGGTGGGCCCCCGGAGCCCCGCCCCTCCTGCTACCAGACTGACCGGAGCGCAGCGTGGAGACGGGGGCAGGGTGGCCCTTGGTCCGCTGATGTGTCCGCTGCACCGCAGGATGCTAGCAGCCTCCTCGCCCGCTCCTTCCTAGGTGCCGGTAGCACCCACTTTCCAGTGATAACAACTAAAGTGTCTCCAGACTTCGCCAAATGTCCCTGGGGAACAAAATCGCCCCCAGGTGAGAACTGCTGGTTGAGACCTGTCTAAGCTGCTTGGCGGGCTCGCTGGGCCCCACGGCCCGCCGCGCACCGCTCTCCGGCCCGGCGCCGGCCT